CGCAGAATGTGCGGTCCGCGCTCCGACGTCTAGGGAAAGAAGCTGGGAGGTCTGGGAACTGTTAGGTCGCTGAACGGGGTTTTAAGTATGCAGGGACAAAGGAAAGAGAGTCCACAAAGCTGTGACGGGCGGAGGGCACAGGGCCTGTGACTTGGAAGCGAGGCAGAGAGCGGGTAGTTCCCAAGAGCAAAGACACTGAATGGTGGAATCCGAGACCCACCTGACTGGAGCTAGACCTCCAGCCCCCGCCGCAGCTGGAGGGAGGTCCAGGCCCTGAAGTTGGTGCGCTGCAGCTCTGCACCAACAGAGGGCGCCGTGTCCTCATCAGTTTGTGGTGGGCGGCTCCCAGCTGTCGGCCAGATGTGGACAGCTGGACTGCGGTAGGCGCGAAGCTCTACCCGAGTCCCTGCAGACTAGCCGGCGGGGGCAGAACGAAGAAGGGACAGCAGTGGGCAAGGATGGTGGTAGAAAAATCCACTGTMGCTGCTCTGTAGACTACCGGATTGTCTTCTGTAGAAATGGGAAGCTTCTTTCCCAAAGAGGGCGCCGTTTTCTGATTCCCACAAAAGGCGCTGGCAGCAGCCCGGGGCTGGCTCAGCAAGACCTAATTGGGTCCAATGGGCGGGGCGCGGGACCAGGAGAGACCCACGCGGCAGTCGGCGGCGGGAAAGAAAGCTGGTCTTGAGGGCCTTGAACTTTTTGAGTACGCAACCTGAGATTCCAGACGCTCCAACATACATGCACGCAGGCGTGAGCGCGCGCACCAGATCTTCCCAGAGCTCTGTCTGCCCTTGGTACCGTGTGCATTCACGGAGTGAAAAATTGAGGCTCTGCAGGACGGAGCACTGAGAGACCCTTCCTCCCTATCCTCTAGAGTTGAGAAGTGGGGCTAGAGGGCCACAGCTAACGACCCTAGGACCAGTGACAACCCCAGGGTCCCCACCCCTTAACTTGCCTGTTGTCCCCACCCCCAGCCACTCCTCAGGCTCCAGGGTAATCAGCTGCTGCGCTCTGCAGTAATTGGTGGTGCAGACCGGGCCTGGCGGAGGACAGGCGGGCGGTGCAGGGGCGGGCGAGGGGCTTAATTGCAGGGCTTCTGCAAGCAGTCTGGGCCGCAGCCCCACCTGGGGGGAGGGGACAGGCCCAGAAGCTCCACAGGCCCGGCCTTGGAAGAAACCTTTTGGGTTGGTAGTTGGGGATCCCTTCTCTGCAAACGGTGAATTGGGACGTTGAACCCCAGCAAGGGTGTGGGGTGGGGGGCGGTGAGGGAGGGAGAATGCCTGGCAAGAGCTGCAGGACGGGGACCGATTGCAGACTTCCCACCCCAACCTCAGAAGCCCCATTCGTCTTGTCCGAGACTCCTCCCTTGTTCTGACCACCGCTGCTCCCCTTTCTGCCGCCCCCGTCACCCCCCTTCTCATATCCCCAGGGCGCTCCCACCCTAGGGAAGAATGTGCCCTTCTAGCGCACCCTTGCCATGGTAACGGCACACCCCCACCCCCGCGTACCACAGCGGCGGGGCCTGGCCCAGCGGGCTGCAAAGTGTACGTGTGGTGGGGGGGAGCGCCTCCCAGAGCGGTGGACACACCTCGRCTGTCCTCGTTGCCACAGCAACCAGTGGCGTTTGGAAGTACGCAGCCGCAAAATGGACAGGGGCTCTCTTCACTACCCCTWACCCTTCTACCACACCAGCAGGGGATCCCAGCTCCAGGGAAAGACACCCCCTCCCCAATTTCAAGGAAAAGGTCCAGAGAGGGATAGTGGAGTGTCCAGGCCTCTAGGACTCCAGAGGCGAGTCCAGGAGAAACAGGCAGCCTGAGGGTCCCAGAGAACCTGGAACCTGGAAAGAGAGCCCCTGTCGCCAGCTCTGTCTCCCTCCCGCAGCAGAACCCAAGGGGGGCGCTGGCAGCAGGAAGCCAGGGAAGAGCCCGGAGGCGTGCTGGCCCCACAGCAGAGCGGTGATTACAGGGACCTGTCCCTCCCGCCCCCGGCTCCCACTCTCATTAAGTCATTTTTTCCCCTGTTGGAAAGTCCCCGTGCAGGAGCTGGGGCGACCGCAGGCAGCTGCCGGCAACCACATGAGAAGGGGGGGTGAGAGGGGAGGACTTGGGCCACGAGACTAGGGCCTAGGCACTCTCCAACGCGGAAGGCCCCCTGCCGGGGGGCTAGTTGGGTATGCATTAATTCGGGGGAAGGAGGGAAGCCTGGATGACCCTGACCTTGCTTCTCATGGGGTATTCCCATGGCATTCCCATGGCCTACCTTTGAATGCCTCTCCCCTCCTCCCCCAGGTTCCTTGGGTGCCTGAAAAGCAAGAAGCCTAGGTTCTGATCCTACTCAGCCTGACTATCTCCACCTGACCCTTAACCCCGGCACTGCCTGCTGATCTGTCCAGCACACTCATTCCCTGTTTGCTCCCTCACTCCTTTGGGGACAATCTAGATCCAGTAGGATCTACTACTACTTCTGCCCACAAGGGCGTGACCTAGTGTCCACCAGGTGAAATGTATTGGGGGTAAAAGAGGTTCTTTTTTCCTCTGAATGATCTCTGGCCACATTCTGTTCCTATTTCTAAGGCTCACCCTGATGCTCCCCAAGCTGTTGGTAAGTTCTCCTCATCTCAACTCTACCTTCCCACTTAATTTCARCCTATTTCCCCTATTTCCAATATGTACATCAATACCCTTCAGCCAGTATGCATAAGCCCAGTGCCTCTCAGGCCCCATTTCCCCATCCCCCATCACTTTCATGTCTCCCTTTAGGACCCTTGCAAAGTCCCACACACCCCTTTTCATTGTGACTCTAGCCTTGGTCCCAGGACTCAACTTCTGGCCCAGGGAGAGGATGGGAGGATGACCAACACCCTATACTGTCCCTTTCCGAACTTTTCCTCCCCTTCTTTATGGCTCAGGCTGACATAGATCACCATGACTTCACGCCTAGAACAGGTCCCCTCCCCTACAGCTCAGTATCCAGTCCCCTGTCYCCCTTGCCACCCACCCTTGCCTCCAAGGCAGCATGTTCTACAATGTTGGGGCTCCTACCTTATTCCCCCAACTTGATCCTAGAGTTCCCACTTCCAGTCCGTCCCCCCCACGCCTCATGCCCCACACCCAGGTCTGTCCTGCATAAGGCTGGGAGGCAGCAGAGGGTGAGGTCAAGGCCAATGCCCTACTGGACACTACTAGGGGTGGGGGTAAATCCCCCCCAGGGCCCTAGGGACTGCAATTCCCCCAGCCTGCTTCTCCTCCTTCCTGGGATGGGAGGGAGGAAGGGGGCAGGGAACCCAGCCCCCACAGCCCTCTCCGGAGTGAACAAGAGGAAAGGAATGAGGCAGGTGTGTCTGGCTGCTCCTGCCTACCCCTCCTCCCTGGGGACTCTCACAGGCCTGCCTGTCTTTGGGGGGATGGGGAGAGAAACCCTGTTCTCCACCGAGGCAATGGAATTGAGCCCTTGGAAGGGTCTCCTGCCTTGGGCATGCCTGGGAGCTGCTGGGGTGCCAGCAGAGGAAGCACAGGGAGCTGCAGCCAGCTAGGAAAGGCAAATCTCCCAGTTGGAGGGCCCACAATGGGCATCACCCTGATAACCTCCTTTTCTTTTTTAYTCCACCCATGAGTAAGGAGACATGGAGCAGAGGTAGGGAAATGTGGGGGATTTTTGCAGGCTAACAATTGGGGAACAAGATTTTGTCCTTGTCTGTTTTATCAAGAGGGATAACATTTGCGAAAAACAGGCAACCAGCAGGGWCCTTAACTGTGAGCATAAGGAAGCCTGGCTGAAATAGTTAAATTGTTCTTTCCCTGACATCCTGAGGGTCTGTTCCAGAAAATCTACAACAAGAATACAACCCTGTACTCAAACTRCCAGCTCAGCAGTGTCCTGATGGGGGCATGACCTACTAAGAGGGATTATTGACCTGCCAAGGGGCACCCTGAGCTGGGGCTCTGAGGGCACCAAGGCCCAGGAAAGATGGTCCCCCAGATCCTTATTGACATACCCTGCCTCTCCTCCTGCGCACTCAAGAGCCCAGAGATCCAGACAATGAGTCTGCAGCCCTCCCCCACCACCCTCTTCCCAGCCGCACCTCCTGGCCCCACCTGCTCCCCCGGGCGMTGGGCTGGGTTGAGCTGGGTCTTGCCCAGGATTATTCCTCTCAGAGTGCCTCCTGTCTCTGCCGACGGTTGCTGCTGGGCACAGCCACTCGCCCTGGCTTGTGGCAGAGGGCTCAGGCACAAAGTGGGCGGTTAGAACTCTGGCACAAAAGACCCTGCCTGGATTCAGTCCCTTTCCTACATCTCCATTGCCTCCATCCAGTCCAGGTCTCATCTCTGGTTTGGAAGTGGCCTTCCAGCTGTCAGCTTGTCCCCCAGTTCTGCATAGAACAATCCATGTAGGAACCAGACCATGACACCCCCTGCTTAAGACTCTCTGCAGGTTCCCATTCCTCGAAAATAAAATTCCAACTCCTTAWCTAGGCCTAGAAAGACACATGATGTGACCTTTGCCCACCCTCTGAGCGCCTCTCTTGCCCATCAGTCCCTTGATTTCTTCACTCTAGTTGCAGTGGACTCTTTGCTGTTCCTCCAGTAAGSAGAGGTCTTTTTCCTCTTGGAACTTTTTCATTCCCCAGGCCTCTGCCTGGAAAGCCTTTCCCCTCGACCTCCACGAGGCTCTCTTTTCTACCTCACAGATCTCAGCATGGGTACCATGACTTCTGAGGCCTTCCCTGACCCCTGGTTTTATCAGAAGGGGTCCCCCTCTCCACATCACTGTACACCCAGCACATAGCATTGTCTGAAATGACCTTGTTTGTGTGTTTCCTGGTTTATTGCTCATCTCCCTCAAGAAGAATGTAAACTCCTTTAGGGCAGGTGCTGTGTCTYTCTCTTATGCACACCTGTATCCCGGAACTCCCTCCCCCATAGAGAGTGCCACAAAGGGAGTGCAAAATAAATATCTGTTAAATGAATGATGAGGGAAATGGTAAGGGGCAGAGGCCAGTGGGTGAGGATGACTGGGGCCTTTATAGAATTACTTCAGCTCAGTCATGTCCAGTTCTTCTTTTTAATCTTCCTCCCCCTGCCCATCAGCTTCCATCCATTCCCTCCCACTCCAGGGGAAGGGGAGAAAGGATGGGCACAGACAGGCCTGAGGGGCTGGGCTGCCTGCCTGACACGTGTGTGTCCTAAGGTATGGGGCAGTCTCCAGCCCAACTGAGCTGTGTGAGCTGAGGACAGGAAGGAGGGAGGCCAATCAATCCTAAAGCCCACAGAATTGAGCAGAGGGGTTGATTTGGAAGCCCTGGACTGTCCCTTGATTGCAGAACCGGGAGTCCTTCTGAGAGCCTGTGGTCCAGTCTCTCCCAGGAAGCCAAGGTGCTCTGGGCCAAATCGCAAGTGCAGAGGCCAGGCTCCAGGAGGGGAGCCTTTCTCGGGGCCCGGGGAAACCTGTGCGGCTCACTTGCAAACGCTAACCCACTCGGTGATGCGGCACTCTTCGCACACCACGAAACAGCACCAGTGGAACCGGCAGTGGCAGCGCTCACTGCGAGTCTGGCGCAGGATGTTGTGGCCGCGGCCGCAGCACATGCTGCCGCAGCCATCCGGGCCCGCGCTGCTCTTGTTGCACAGGCGGCCCACGGTGCCTGCCGAGTCCAGGCGCGGCTCGCGCTCGCAGAAGTCGGGCGATTTCTCGAAGTAGACCAGGTCGGCGGGGCTGGCTCGCCGGCGCGGCACAGGAGTGCCCGGGGCGGGCGAGGGTGCCCCCGCGGGGCCTGGCTCCAGCTGGCCGCCGTTGCGGTTGTGCGGCCGGATGAGCGTGGCGCGGTGGAAGCGGTTGCGCAGCAGCGCCCCCACTGCTCGGAACTCGGGCGTCACCTGCCAGCAGGTCTTGAGTTGGCAGCTGCCTGACGTGCCGTGGCACTTGCATTTTCGCCGCATGTTCTCCATCACCGCCTGCGGAAGGAGGCACCCTGAGGAGTGACGCTGGCGGCCAGACCCCTGCCCTCCTCCCACTGCCGAGACTGGCCTTCGAAATCTCAGAGGCTTTTGAAACAAGCTCCCATTGTACAGAAGCAAAGACTGAGGCCCAAAGTAGGGGCCCCACAACTCCCGAGTCAAACAAGCAGAATTCCTCTGCCGGCTTCTCTGCTCTGCTCCCATCCACCTCCAACAGGCTAGGCCATGGGGAAATTTTGTCCTTCCTGCTCCCCTCTGCTCCCCTCCTCTCCTGCCAGCCTTTCCTGCAGCTGCAGGGAGCCCTTGGGGCAGGAGGCTTTTGCTTCCTGAGGGAGGGGATCCCAGATCTTCAGGGAAATTCCCTCTTCTTCCATTCCTGGGGTAGGGGCCAGGAGAAGGGGGGTGCCAGTCCCACTGAATGCCAGCCCCAAAGCCTCTGGCCTCACTCCAGACCGTGAGCCGGGCTGGCAGTGAGTTTGAGAAAGCCCCATTCCACTGCCACCATCCCCAGGTCTTTGGAGGATCCAAAGCCAGGGGACAGGAACCTGGGAGACCACCCCTCCCATTATGCTGACTGGGACTCATTCAGTCTTGTGCTGAGTGCCACCAGAAGCCAAAGTTCTACCTGAATACAGAAGGAACCCCAGAGAGGGCCAGGCTCTCAGTCCTGTGAAAGTGGAGAGAGGTTGCCAGGCCTCCAGGGGAGGTACTTAGAGGAACATACCTGCCACCTAACTCTTAACCAGTCTAGGATCCCCTCCCAAAGAACTCCTTGGCATTGTCCCCCCAGGAAGGTGCCTCCCACTTSATCCCAAGACATATTCTCAGGCAGGGACAGACAGCAAGGATCTRGGGCCCTATGGCTGGGCAGGAGGGCCAAAAGTGAGGGACCCTGCCCCTCAGGCCTTATAGGGCTGTGCAGCTTGCATGTGGTGTCAGCACCWCATGAGAACCAGCCCCATGCCTCCCCTCCCCAGGCCAACAACTCCAGAACATCTGCTTCCCACAGGCAGCAGCCATTAATTAAACAGTTTAACGAGGACGAGGAGGAGGCACTGTTGGTACAGACTGGGATGGTATGGAAGCTTGGGGAAAGAGCCTCATGCACAGGGCAGGGTTGGGTGGGAGCTGGATGGGATCTGAGGGTGGGYGTGCCTCAGTTTACCCCACCTCTAAGTGAAGATGGGAACTGCTGGATCAGCTGGGAGTCTTTGTGGAGGAAGAAGATGAACTGGAGCAGGCTAAAAGTTAAAGGGAAAGGGGAGTGAAGTAGAGAATGCTCCCCAATAGAGTTGAGAAGAGGGCAGGAACAAGGTTGGAGCAAACTGAGCAGAGTCCAGAGATGGAGTGGGGATAGAATGGCCAGGAGAGGAGTGTGCTGGGCCACCATGAGGGCYAAGGAGGCATCAGAGTGTAGACTTCACACGGAGTGTACAACATGTACAGARTATAGAGTTCACACTGAGTGTACCATGTGTCCAGAAAGTAGACTCCACTCCATAGAACAAGCAAGCACAGGTTCAGAGCTCAACTGCCTGGGCATGGATCCTGCCTCTACCACTTTCTCCACTAGTTACATCAGCTCTAGCAAAGCTTCTTTGTCTACCTGTGCCTCAGTTCCCATATCTGAATATGAGGTTCATAATAGTGTTCACATCATAGGTGGTTGKACAGATTAAATGGGCTAATATGTAATAAGATGCTCAGGACAGGGCCTAACACACAGTAGGCACTCAATAAATGTAGGCTCCTATTCCTTTTTTTCCTTCCTTCTCCTTTTTATTTTTTTCATGTATTTCTTTAATTTATTTTCAATGAATATTGGAGGGAAGAAGGGATGAAGGCAATCATAACACAGGTCCAAGGGGGCCCCTAGAAACCTCTTATCCCTCTCACTTTCCAGGAATCCCCCATTATGGACTGGGAGAGGAGGTCAGAGTCACATGGAACCATGAAACATTAGAGCTGGGGGACYTGACAATGATCTAGTCCAACCTTCTGACTCTACAGGGGAGTAGAAAGGGTGACAACCCAGGCCTAGATCCCTGAGGTCCTGACTGCCAGCTCAGTCCTGTCAGGTGATACTGGAGAAAATGGGAGGAACAGACTGCTCAGCAGGGGTGTGCTGATCCCAGGCAGGGGGCAGGGGTTCATCCCTGTATTTCCCAGGCCAAGTCCAGTGCCTGGCATAAAGTAGGTCCTCAAGTCATGCTTGCTGACTGAATTAGGAGGGGGCAAAGAAAAGGTCGCTGAGCTGGTCCCAGGGAAGAAAGTTGGACGGGGGGTGGGGGGGGGGGGGGGGGGGGGGGGGGTATAGGTAGAGGGATTTGGAGCAGGTCTAGGGGTCAGGGCTCTCACCTGCCTCCCAACTCGGTTGTTGTGGAGCCTCATGCGCGCGTGATCCCAGGCAGGGGGCAGGGGTTCATCCCTGTATTTCCCAGGCCAAGTCCAGTGCCTGGCATAAAGTAGGTCCTCAAGTCATGCTTGCTGACTGAATTAGGAGGGGGCAAAGAAAAGGTCGCTGAGCTGGTCCCAGGGAAGAAAGTTGGACGGGGGTGGGGGGGTGGGGGGGTGGGAGGTGGGATATAGGTAGAGGGATTTGGAGCAGGTCTAGGGGTCAGGGCTCTCACCTGCCTCCCAACTCGGTTGTTGTGGAGCCTCATGCGCGCGTGGATGTCTCTGTGAGGCTCCCGGGAGTCCAGAAAGTCCTTAGAGAAGCGCTCCCCGAAGCCCACGTCAGGGCTGCAGCCGCCCCACTCCCAGGAGTCCTGCAGGCCAGGGCTGGCAGGGGGCAGGGCGGGGTGTTCCGGGACCCCGTGGCTCAGCCCCTTACCCCTCTGCAGCGCATCCAGCTGCAGACGATGCAGCTTGCGACGGAAGGCCTCCTCGTCTCCGCGCCGGGATGCATCGCAGCCGCATGCCCGCAGTTTGCCCAGGGCGCACGCGTTGGATACCGCGTGCACCACCCCAGCTGCTGCGATTGCGTAGGCAAAAGCGCTCTCTCTGAAACCTGCGAGAAAACAGATTCTGATGCGGCCTCGACATCCGATCCCCCTGCCCAGCCTGCCCAACCTTAGCATCAAACAGAGAAACTGAGTCCCAGTATGGAGGGCCTGATATAAAGACACAGAGGAAGGGAGGGAGGGAGGGAGAGCGAACAGAAATTATAGCAGAAGCCAGGCCTTCACCACACAGGATTCAAGGTGAAAGGGATAGTTCTCCTTGATAACACACTTGTTGCCCTGCCTTTCCCTTTTCATTAACATCACCCAAGCAAGTTCAGAATTCTTGTGCTTAAATCTCTCCTGTAGGGCAGAAAATACCTGGTAAACACATTCTTTTTAAGATCAGGGATTTCATCTATTACCTTTCATGGTGATATCTGCATAAACTACCCTGCAAAGTTTAACCTAAAGAATACATGACCAGTGATGGAATTCCAGTCCCCAGGGATGCCAGTGGGTAGAAGGATAAGTAAGAGAAGATGGTCTGCTCCTAAAGTGACCTCCCCCAGATTGCCTGCCAGTGTGCACCCATGGTAGACCCAGCCCAGAACCCTCCCTGATGCTCCCCATCCTTGTCCACAGGACACACAATCACTCAAGAATGGATACCCCCCAGCTGCTCTGCCTATGGTAGAGCACTTGCCTAGGGTACATGAAGCCCCTGGGTTCTGTCCCCACTACCAACATAAAAGAACAAAATCCTTTAGATCAGTTAAAGATGTTTGAGGGATGATAGAGGCAAGTCCAGCGTCTTAACTGGGGTCTGGCATATGGTATAGGGGAAGACACCTTCTGCTAGGTGCTCAGGAGACATCAAGGCCCTTCCTGACCCATGAATTCTCAGTGGCTCAGATCCAGGCCATATACTTGTCTGCACTGCTTTCCCTCTCAGTGTTCCAGCCTGAGCCTTCCTCTTGGAGTGCCTGTGGCAGAGGGAGACCTACTAGATCTCATATCTGCAGGCTACTTCTTGCTTATTCTGCATCTGAGAAAGGAGAAGATGGACCAGTCTCTGGACTTCAGAGAGAGGTTAGGAGTGAAAGAAGCCAAGAACAAGAATAGCCCCCCACCCAGGGAGGAAAATCCACCAGTGCTACTGTGATCCCCTAAGAAGCCCACAACCTGGCAGGAGGCTGATGACCTCAGCAGAGGCCAGAGATTCAGAGGAAACAAAGACCCTGTCTGGGTCCTTCTACTCTCTGTGCAGCCTCACAGATACTGGAGAACCAATCAGGATGGACCACTCCTCCTCTAACTCTTACCCCTGTATCACAGAGCACTTTCCTCCTCTTCTTGCCTAGACAAATGATGATGATGATGATAAGATAAGATGGTTAGTAGTTAAGAACTGATTTCTGGAGTCAGATTGCCTGGGTTCAAGCTATGTGACTTTGACGAAGTGATTTAACCTCAGTTTCCTCACTTGTAAAATAGAGTTGCCTCATCCAAGAATTGAGTGAGTTATTAAATTTAAAGGCTTAAAATAGTGCCTTATTCATATTAGTTACTACATAAACATTAGCTATTATTGAGAAGGTCTTCCTACAGTCTGACTTCACTCACTTCTGCATTTTAAGGTCTTTTTTTTTTTTTTAAGTACAAGGGATTGAAACCAGAGGTGTTTAACCACTGTATCACATCCCCAGTTCTTTTTTTAAATGTAATGCTTTTGAGACAGAGCCTTACTAAGTTGCTGAGGCTGCCTTAAGCTTGCAATCCTCTTGTCTCGGCTTCCTGAGCCACTGGGATTTTAGGCATGTGCCACCCCATCCAGCAGGTAACTATTCTTTGTTTCCCCCTGTTCAAGGACAGAGCCCAGCAGTTCATAACCCATTCTAAAATAAATCATTTGAGCTACTAGCAGCTCATGAAGCTCCCTCTCTATATAATCTATTTCCAGCTCATGGCATCTCAATATGTTTTTTCATAAGGAGCCTAGCTATGATCAGACAGAAAGGGATGGGGACTGGGCTGGAGACTTCAAAGGGGATGCTGGGAATTGGCAGGGGAGCAGAAACTACCCTGGGTTGGAAGGACCTGTGGAAGGAGGAAGGACCAAAGTCCCTGGGAAGCACACCCTGCATTTATCCCTTGCCTTTTATCTTTGGAACTTTGAGCACTTCTCTTATTACGGAGGAGTCATTGGCCCAGTCTAGGACACATGGCAATATTCAGGCCTCCAATGCAACTTAGAAATCACCCTCCACACACCACAGCCACCACCAAATACACATGCACTATGCAAAATGAAAAAGCCCAAGGTCACAGGGGTTATGAAGCTGGATCCAGTTCCAGTAGTGACAACTTTCTGCTGAAGGACACTAGCTCCAAGGAAGTCTTGATGCTTAGAAAGAAACCCAGGTAACCCAGTTTCCAGTTCCTAAGACCCTGTGCACACTTGGCACTAGGAAAGAGCACAAGGTTGATTTGGGGTCATGTGCAGGGTCAACCACCATCCCCCAGGCTCTGCCACATTCAAGAGCAGACCCATAGGAATCTGGAGAACTGTAACCCATAGCCCTAAAAGAACATCCCTGTCCCATGCAGTTCAAGATGCCTTCCCCCACATGGCCTCTGACAGCTGTCACAGCCACGTGTAGAAGTGACCAAGTAGGGCCTGTATGGCCACCCTCTGCTGCAGGCATCCAAGCCTCAAAGAAATCTATCCTACTTGAGCCTGCCCCCAGCTCCTGTTTAGGGCCCCAGTTTCGGTCCTGGCCCCGACTGTCTGGGGCAGACACAGGCACTGTGCCATCTGGCCAGCTGGAGGGGGAAAGGGGTGGGGCTATGGCCAGCTGGGCTGCCCGAAGCAGAAGGGGGGGACTTGTTAAGATGCACAATTAGCCGCCCTGCCTTTGATCTGGGACAGGGACTGCCAGCATGTAAGTAGAGTCAGCTGCTGCTACAGGCTGCAGCCAAGGCCTGGGAAGGGGCTGGATGCAGGGAGTCTTAGAGGCCAGAGGGCAGTGAGAACTAGGAGGGGTTAGAGAAGCCCGAGCCCTGACCATCCAAGTCAAAGAAGGAGGAGAGGGGAAAGGTCTGGTTTGTATCCCCTCCATGCAAATAATCTGCACTTGCTCTTGTGCCTGGGCAGAGTGAGACAGTGATAGAGCAAGAATGAATTGAGTGCATGTGGCAACACTTAGGCATGACACTCAATGGGGCTACACATTTGCACAAACATGGGTAGGTGTGTATGTGTGTGTATATGCGTGCACATGACATTTTAATTTCTTAGAATACACTCTCATTGGGGTTGGGATTGTGGCTCAGTGGTAAAGTACTTGCCCAGCATGTGTGAGGCACTGGGTTTGATTCTCAGCACCACACATAAATAATAAATAAAGATCCATTGACAATTWAAAAACTATTTTAAAATATTTTTTTTAAAAAGAATATAATCTCTTTGCACCAACTCATCTTTGGCTACAAGTGGGAATTCACACTGGCCTTGGAGCTTGGAAGACAGTATGGTAGGAGGCTGGGTGCACACTCTGAAGTCATCTGGCTACATGGAGTCCTGGCTGTACTGCTCGATTATAAGCTGTGTGACTAATGACAAGTTATCCAACTTCTCTTAGTTACATTTGTAAAATAAGGCTAATAGGATTTACCTCCTGGGGACTGTTTGAGGACYCTTCAGCATGGATAAAGTGCTTTGAACAATGCCCATCACACGGCAAATACTTAGTACATGCTGGCTAATTTACTGGGTGTCATTAGAATAATAGAATTAGAATAATAGTTAATCCTGTTTGTGCCTTAGTTTCCCCATCTGAGTGCCACTGCACACATGCTCCAAGCCCTGGAGGCCTGGATGTAAAACCATGATTCCCTGAGAGAATGAATATTAAAGGTAGGGTGGGAAAAGAAAGTCAGACCTTGGAGATGAGAGGTTGGACACTTACATTTCTGGTTTCCCTGGGGCTGGAGCCTGGCTAGCTGCAGGGCCTCATGCCCCCTCTATGCATCCATTCCAAATGGGTATGGGCCTTAGGGAGGGCAGTGCCCAAACTGTGTGGGAGCTCCCAGGATCTTCTATGTGAATCTACTACATTTCTTCCATCTAGCCTCTCCCTGACCTCCCATCCTTGCCCATCCCTGTGCCTGAGCTCAGGAGCTCCCACCTCACATCTCCTTCCTCTCCCCACCTCCTGAATGAGAAATGCCTCATGTAACAAGTATTATACTCAGCACCCCATCCAGGCACCAGCCTGTCTGGGTCCTCAGTACAAAAAGCTGGGGGGGGGTACCAGTGCCCTCATTACTTAGATCATTGGTGCCCTTGGGTTGGGCAAAGCTGCCAACATGGGCTTAGATCCTCCACAGGTGCAGCTTTTTTCTGACCCTCTCTAGCCCCCTGGAGGCCTCTATTCCTGTCCCATCTTCCCACCAGGCTGCAGCACCTCTCTTTGGCTAGGTAAAGCCTGGGTATGTTCCCAGGCTTGTGGAACCCAGATGTACCTTTTCCCTTCCCTCCTTCATCAGTCCCATCCCACCAGCACAACCCATCTCAGGGAAGATGACAGAACCACAGGAGGACAGTAGCAGCAGTAAAGAAGACCCAAGGAACCACCTACCCCAAGCAGTCTCTGAAATTGAAACTTGTCAAAAAAAAAAAAATCCACTTTAAAAGAAATCCTTTGGCAGCTTGGGTCAGAAAAGGGGTCAGCTCCCTGATATTCCACTTGGGAGAAACCGAAGTCACCTGACTCTCAATGGACCCTGAAAAGGAGACTCAGATAAGAACCAGACCACCAGGGGCTGGTGCCACCACAAGCGGCCTCCTAGGATACAAATTTAGCTAGTCCTGGAGGAGACAGATCAAGATGGACCAGGAAATAACCCTAGAGGAGGGTGGATCCAGATGTGAAGTGGAACAGGGGCTAGTGGAGGCCAAATGGAGGTGAGGTGGGGGAGTGGCAGTTTTCTTTCCGGAAGCTCAGATTCATTTCCTCCGGAGAGGGAGAGATAGAAATGAGCAACGACTGTGTGCGGGGCTGGGGGGGGGGACAGTGAGGGGGGACAGTGAGGGGTGGGGGGCGGGGGTGTTGCAGAAGCGACGGAGGTAGGGCGGCACAGGCAAGAAGCCCAGCCCCTCTGGCGGGGCCCAGAAGCCACCGTCCCGCCCCCTCCCCGCGCTGGGCGCCGCCCCGCCCGGCTAGCCCCGGCAAGTCTCCCCCCTCCACTCCTAACCTCTCCCCCCACCCGTCCCCCCAGCTCACCTCCTGCTTATTAAACTGTGGGTGAACCCAGGAGCGCTTGGCCCCGCGCCAACCCAGCGCGGTTCCACCACTCCGAACTCGCCCCCAGTTTCAGAGACCCCAGTTTCTTCATCAGGCCTCACAGGCCTGATCGGAAAGCAACCAGGACGCCTGGGTTCACTCAGTCTAGAGGGCACGGGAGGACCGGAGGGGACCCGAGGCCGGGGAGAGGGCTGAAGAGCTTGCCCTGCCTCGCCTCGCCCAAAGCGTCAGGGGTGAGAACCTCAGCGCCTGGCCAAGCCCCCAGTGAGCGGAAACCCAAGCATGGGGTGCGGACCCTCTGCTCCAGGGCGGAGGGTTGCGGAGTACGCGGCTGCGGGAGCGCGGGGGACCTAGCAACCGGACTGCGGGAGCGGGCACGCGGGGCGGTGAGCGCCGGCCGGGCCTGGCCTGGGCCGGGAAGACACTGAGGCCYGCCACTCGGGGTCAGCCAGCGCGGGTGGCGGGGCCGGGAGGGGCGCGTGGTGGGAGCTGGGCCAGCTGTGGRCTGGGGGTCCCCAGCAGCCGCCCCTGGACGGTGGGAAAGGATCCGGCGCGGGACAGGAGGGAGGGCGTGCGGGGCAGGGGGGCGCCCTCTTGGAGAGCGGCGCGGCTGGGGCCGGGAGCCGTCTGCCGCGGCCCGCGGGGATTAGTTCGCGGCTGCATGCCGCCACACGCGCGGGGCTGGGCTCCGCCGGGGAGAAACAGCGCCCCGGGCGCGCGGGGGAGGGAAGAGGGAGCGCGCGGGGGCGGGGCGGGCAGCCGGGGTTGGGCTGGGGGAGGTTGGGGTGGCCCTGACTTGGAGGCCCAGGGGACACATGCAGGAGTCCTGGTGAAAACCAAAGGTCCTAAGTTGGAGTTCCTAGGGGCCTGACTCCTCCAGAAGCCCCGGACTCCAGGTATAAGGGTACCCCTTCTCATCCACCATCAGCTAGAATTGGACAARGCCCAAGGAACTAGGGTCACAGGGTCCCCACACTGTCCTATGCAGGCTGCTGAGAGGARAGACATACCCAGCTAGGCAAATCCAGGAACCAGGGCCCCCATCTTGCCCCAAGGACCTGATTCTGGCCCCAGATGCCAGGCCAGAGGTGAGAGGAATCAGAAATGAGTAATAAAACCACCTGCTGTCTTCAGCCCAAGCTGAAGTGGTCTCTGAGCCACTCAGAAGTCAGGAGAGGACAGGGAATGGGCTGCCACTCGCCTGAGCTGTGAGGGGAACAGGGGTTGGCAGAGCTGTCAGGCTTGCTGGTCTGGAGCCACCGCGCACAAGTAAGCACACACCCAGAGCTCTGATTCAGAGAGGGTTTTTGGGGGTGGTGAGGATGACACAGAGGCTGGTGGTGTACCCGGCCAGCAGAGCTTCTGCATAAGTACAGACCATTGATTTACCTGCCCAGGCTCCAGACCCGCACTATTTGGCAGAATRTCATCCTTCTTCATGCCACTGCTAAGTACCTTCTCACAGGCTCTCCATTCTAAGTGTAGTTTACTAAAGTAGAGGGTAAATTGAGGCAGGTGACAGTGCAATTTCCCAGACTTGAGGGATTTTGGTGTTAGTGACAAGGCCAGATAACCCAGGAGTCTAGTTCCCTACTATGAATGAAACCTGCCACCATTGGCCAGAGACACATCTGTCCCATTTGTCCACCCCGTGACTTTTCTGAGGCTAGAAAGAGGCAGAAAAGTAGCATGGCTGGCAGATGTGAGAGGTCAGGGACTACCAGCTTGAGAGTGTAGATTTTGGATAGATTCTGGGATGGAGGTGCTGGATGGGACAGGAAGGGGAGCAGGGGTGAGTGGCAGCTACCTCTGCTGAAGATGGGACTCTCATAAGGGATCTTGTTTCGAGTCTCCAAGCTAGAGCAGTTCCAGCGCTGGTCCCGGAACTGGTGTTGGCACTCGTGGATGGCGATTTGGATGCCCTGGATGGCTGAGGCGGCCACGTCAGGGTGACGCACACACACCTCCATCTGCCGCCGGCTCAGGCCAGGCAATGTCAGGCAAACTGTGTTGGCGTTGAGCACAGGCTCCGGGGGAAGGTGGAGGCCCAGGATGTCGTTGGGTGCTGATCTGCAGGCATGTGGGGTGGGGTGGGTAAGCGTTTTGGGGAAACCTTAAGGACCCTATTTAATAATACACACTGTCTCCCAAAGGTCATAATCACTCTGTGCTCGAACTCCCACTTCTAAAGGCTGGGCCCCTCAGTACACTCCTAAACATCTTCCTTTCCTTGACYTCCTCACCATCATCCCTTCCAATGCAACCCACCCAGCTGCACTCCCACACAGGCAAACATGTGTAAATGCACACACATCCGCTATGCCTGGCTATGCCTTTGCACACAGTATTTTATGAGTACATCCCTAGGCACAGATGCCTGCATACACAGGGTGCACCAGAAGCCCACTCTTAGAGCATGTTCCAGATGGTCACAATTACACAGACACACTTTCTGCACACACTGTGGTGAACATACAGACCCAGGAACTCTTACACACACGCACACTTCATCAGACAYAATTACACACACACATCCACACATGTTTGTCTTAACATACCCGTGAACTCACACTCACACACACATACACTACTGCTGTTTACCAGTCCAGCTTGCTAGGATCACTCTATGACACAGTCTTTTCAGCTGTAGTCGCTCACTGACCCCACCTGGGATACCTCCTCCCAGCCCCCCAACTCCTACTCTTGCAGGGAGAGGGGATTTGCAACGTGGAAGGAGGAAGTTTGAATTTTCTGCTGGGGTAGGGGTGGGGGTGCGCTCCCCCAGAGTGACGCTCCAGGCTGGCCCTGCTCCCCTCACATACACCTCTCCTAGCTGCCATCACCCTCTGAGCACTGCCCTGTCTCCCTGCACTGCCCATATTCTATCACCAGTCCAATCCCTTCCTAGGAGAGAGCTCACTGTCTTCGCTGGGGCACCCGCACTTTCCAGTGGCCTTGTCCCTCCCTCATTCCAGGGTCCCTGCCCCAGCAAGAGCACCAGAGGCCCCTGCCCCGGGGGTCCCAGCTCTCCAGGAGGGCGGAGCGTGAGGTGAGGGCTCACCTGGGCACAGCAGCAGCCAGCAGCAGTAGGAAGAACAGGAGCGCGCAGAGCGCGGGCCGCGGCTGGGGCCAGGGTCGGAGCCGCAGCCAGGGGCGAGGGTGGGCGCTGCCCATGGCGCGCGGGCCGGGCCGTGAAGGGCCGGGAGTGGGGGGCTCACAGCCCGATGGGCCTGGCGAGCCAGGGGCGGTGGCGCATGATCAGCTGGGGTCGGGGCGTCTGCGACACGCGACACACAGCTCCGACAAGACTCGGGTCACGGTTCCGAGAGCAGACGGCGCCCGCCTCCCTGCTCCATGGGGCAGCACCCCCGGGCACCGCCCTCGGGGGGTGGGGGGGGGAGCGGGCGAACCGGGCACCTCCTGGCACAGGGGTCCGGGGAATTTCCCAAGGCCCCCTTGCGACAACTCCTGGTGCCTGTCGAGAGTGAGGGGGGTCCCGGAGGTACAGCKGGTGGGGACTCGGGGCCGGGGTGCCGGGGAGCACCCCAGCGCAGCGCCGCGAGCCTGTGCTTCCGAGGTGAGCGAGGCAGGCGGCGGGGGCGGGGGGCGGCGCTGTGCCTGGCCCCACAGTCTGGAGAGTAAGTGACCGTCCCGGCTCAGGGAGCGCTGCCGCCTCCCTTTCTGCGCCCCCCCCCGCCCCGTGTAGTGTCTAAGGGCTCTACCCCACGTGACGTCACGACAGGGGTGGTGTGGAGGCGTGGACGAGTCCCGAGGCCACGGCGTCGGTTCAAGACTGGGCGGTGGGAGAGGGCGTGCTGAGGGCGGAGGAAGGAGAGGCGTCGGGGTCTGTGCGCCCTGCGCAGAGAGTTGCCTGTGCGCAGAGTGCGCTGGTCTGTGCGGGGTAGGTGTGTTACCGCGAGGTGTGTGTGCCCGCAGAGACGCAGCTGCCGGGGAGCGCCCCACCCCACCCCAGCACACACCTGCTGGGACGAGATGGGAGGGGCTGTCCTCTCCCGGGTTCACCTCCCCTACTTCTGGAGGGACTTCCCCGAGCCTGCCCTGAGAGGCAGGCTGGGGTCCCGCGGAGGGGTTTGGCAGCCTTTGGCTCTTTCTCTCCTTTGCTGCTTGGCTCCTGGAGACACCCTTTGTCCCTTTACCAACTGAGGGTAAGGAGGTCCACCTCATGTGTTCAATGAGCCAAGGAAAGGAGAAAATGCCAGGCGTTTGGAAGCCTAGCACCTTGGGGGTGGCACTTGCTGGGAAAGGGGATTCTAAAATCTCTTAATCCAAGAAGTGGGTTTTGAGGTCATCTTATTGTGTCATGAAAAAATGTTGAGGCTCAGAGAGGGTCATGACTTCCTTAAGGTAACACAGCATATTAGTGGAACAACGGGAACTGAATTCAATTCTCCTGACTCCCAGCACAGCAGCTGTGGCCCCTACACTGAGTGTTGCTTGCCTGTGCCTACTGATGCTCTGAGTGTGCCCTGGCCCTGTCCACACATGGTCCTCTGGGACCACTTTTATTCCTCYGGTCTCTGGCTGAACACCAGGCCCCTCCTCATATGGGGCAAGTGTGTTTGGCCCAGGCAAGGGCCTGAAAACCAGAGAGCTGGGGGAAGAGGCTGTGGTTTCTGTTTCTGGTTCTGATCTGGGCCCTGATACTTCCTACTCCTGCTGTGGCCTCCACATCTTCCTCTGTAAAGTGGGCACAAGCTTCCCACTCTACACATACACACCCCTTCCACCCAGTGCCCCCTCTTTCTGAAGAGAGCCCCTCCTGGCTTGGGGACAGAACTGCTGGAGCCTCTGGGCTCAGAGACAAAAGGGGCCCATTCCTGGAATTGCCCATCCTGGGGGAATTGGAAGAGAGAGGAGGGGTGTTCCTGTCCCCACACTGTCAGGTGGTGGGGGTGGCCTGAGCAACAGCAGGCTGACGGCACACACTCCCTCCCCGCCCCCCAATCTCTGCCGGCAGCCACTGCAGCTGTCAGGAATTAAGGGCTGGAGGCTGCTGGGGGTGGGGGTGGGGCCATGGGGGAGCAGTCTGGCTGGACAGCAGGAAAACAGCCCGGGGCAGGAAGCAGACTGCGTCAGCCAGAGCCTGGTTTGACCCTAGCCACCCCCTGTCCTCCCCACTCTCCCCCACCATGCTGCGGGGACAAGGACAGGGACAGCTTGGGACTACAGTTTGGAAAGGAGGTAGGGGCTGGGTAAGACTACTACTACACAGGAAGGAACAGGAGCCCAAGGTGGGAGAGGGCGTTTGCAGGTGGCAGGGGGTCAAGCTCCCATTAGCTGTTGGGAAAACTGAGGCCCAGGAAGGCTTCAGAACAGGCCCAACACAATGCAGGCGACAAGACCACCCTTAGGCTACAGACCTCCTTGTTCCCTGCCCAGTGCTCACACTAGTGTTTCCCACACCCTGTCTCCTCTGAGGGGGAACACTGGGGCCAGTGAAGCACGCCTGTAATCCCAGCAACTCAGGAGGCTGAGACAGGAGGATCAGGATCGCAAGTAAAGTCAATCCCACCAATTTAGTGAGGCAACTTAGTGAGGAGACCCTGTCTCTAAATAAAATATAAAAAATGCTGGGGATGTGGCTCAGTGGAAAAGTGCCCCTGAGTTCAATCCCTGGTACCAAAAAAAAAAAAAAAAAGTACAGACTCCAGACCCCGTGTGACGGAACCAGCCTTTCCAGGCCCCCTCTGGGTCTGCATGTCTCACCATAACCCAAATGTTTTGGTGGAGCACTTTTGGGAAATGCTGCTGACCTGGCTGAGCAGCTGATTTTTCCCCCTTTGGCCTGCCTCTGATGAGCGAAGGTCTCTTTGTGCCCTGCCACCTCCACTATCCATGAAATATGGAGGTACAAAGGAGAAAGACCTTTTCTTTGAAAACCCCAGGAGGCAAATACTGATTCTCAAGATCTTGCTCCTGGCGTAGCTCAGGCCTGATGTCTAGGAGTGCCCAAATCTGGGGCACCCCTCCTCAGTCCAAGGATGTGTTGTGTTGTATGTGAGCACAAGGCCTTGACATGTAGGTAGATGAGGCCCAGAGAGAGTGTGTAACTGAGGCCCAGCCCTGTATGATCCACGCCATGGCCAAGCCCCTATCAGCAGCCCCCAGTCCCCACCCTCGCCCTGCCCTGAGCCCTGGCCCTYAGCCCAGCCCCAGCCCCCGCACCGCTGCCTGAGACCACAATTACAGGGCCACTGGGGGTGGGGGGGGCACGGAGGATCAAAGGCAGCTTGGAGAATGGTTCCAGCTGTGGCTGCTCTGGAGGAGGTTGAGGAAAGGAGGGCTGGGGGAGGCACGAGGGTGAGAACAGGTGGGACCCTCACAGCCCCAGCCTGACCCAATCCAGTCCCCTTGATCAGTTGTAATTTTGTCTTGGTGAAGAGAGGGAAGGAGCCCCAGATCGATAAGGGGGCTCTTTGTCCTGTTGCCCAGAACTCAGCTAGGCCAGGGGGGAGTTTGCTGCTCCCATCTTCCCAAGCTCCTAAAGTTTGGCCATTGAAGGGAAAGGGAGATGTTTTCAGAGTCCTTGGCCTCAGGCTGATCCTGGGACTTCTACCAGGCTTCTTTACTCATATGCCTGCATTCTGCCTTTTTTTGGTGTGGTCACGCAAACATCTGGGGTGCCTCTCTGATCTTCCCCCATCTCCCTAGTACCACGTGTCCCCCGCCACTCAGCCAGCAGGGGACCTTGACTGTGCCTGTGGCTGAGCAGCTGGGTGAGCAAATGTGGTGTCGGGGCACTTCCAAGTTCTGCTTCTGACCCCTTCCCAGGCAACAGTGCAGAACACAGAGCCATTCTGGGCTTGAAGAGAACTAGACTAATTGTCCCAATGGTGCTTCCTGAGGCTTCACTGTCACCAGTCACAGAAAACAGCTTCCAGACCCCTGCTAGCTTGGTTGCAGAAAATGGGCCACTGACAGTTGACTAGCAGTTTACAGATTGCAGTGAACTCTCACAATGTGCTAAGAAGACCTATTTTGTGATGGAAAGACTGAGGCTCAGATAGGTTAACTGACCAACCAAAGTTAAGCTTGTAAACTAGGTCTTTTTCACTATGTTGTACGAGTTCCTTGGAATTACTTTCAACCTGCTTGTGATAGTATTGGTTCATGCTACTGTCCCAAATTTCCTTCTGTGGCATCATGGAGAAAGATACCCAGCATCACCCCATCCCGTCTCACCACCAGGTCCAGGCAGCAGTAGAGACTGGGAGACTGGCATCCCAGCCCTAGGTCTGGCGAGCCCATAGGTCCCAGACAGTCTGGAACACTGGCAGCTTGACCTAAGCTGTCCATAGGTCTCCTGCTTCCTTCTAGTTCTGCCAAGGGCTTTCAGTTCCCCAGATGTCCTGCTCCTTGGGTCTGTCCTTGTTAATAGGGAAGCTGGGCGCTGCCTGCCYCCTGGTGGTCTCTGAAAGAAGTGCAGGAGATTAAAAAGTGCGGTGCAGAGCTCTGGGGAAGGCAGAGCTGTGAATTATAATCACTGCCACTCAGGAAGCCTCATTTCTCTTTGGTGTGGCCCRAATGCCAGTTCCACTCTTCTCCTGGGAAAGTTGACTGAGCCTACTTTGGTTGAGAGGTTATGTGTCTAAATTCTCCACGACCTTTTCCCAAATCCCAGGCATTTGATCTGAGGAAGCTGGCAGGAAAGAATACCAGATGCCCCTTCCTTCCCACCACAGCCTGCTGCACACCCTCCTTCAACACCCTGTCACTGTAAAACTGGAAGCCTGAGCCTGGCTAGATCACAGAGTGGATGCAGAGGCACTTTGGGGGAATGGTGGATGTACTGGAAGCCATGGCTAGGGTCCTTCACATCCAGGATGAGGACCCCTTCCTTCTGTACCACTTGAAGAACTCTGCTCTCCTCTCAGTGGTCATAGGGGGCTGTCAACCCCAGTCATGGTACTACATCTCCATGGACACTGTTATTGGTTCAGTCAGGCAAATGACCAGGCTCAACTAGGCAGGGTCTTCCTTGGGATTTCTCCTGGGGATAACTGGGAAGGCTATTCTTTTTTGGACCCCCAGCTTTAGGAGAGCTGTGGTATTAGAGAAAGGGTTCAGGGGAGGATGAGGGCAGTATGCAAACAGAAGCAGAGATACGCAGAAACAGCAGATGCTGGAGGAAGGGGACTGATGAGATGAGAGGCCTATGACACCATTTGAGCCCCTGGGCTCAGCTGTGCTTAAATTCAGACTTGATAGATTTTCCATTCTTTAACTCCCTTTAGCCTAATCTAAAAGTTAGTTGTCTCACTTGCAATCAGAGCCTGTACTTGATAGACTTTTTCCTCCCTTTTCTCCTCCTCCTCCTCCTCCTCCTCCTCCTCCTCCTCCTCCTCCTCCTCCTCCTCCATTGGACCCAGGGTCTCTTGCATGATAGGCTAGGCAAGGGCTCAGCCACACCCCCAGCTCCAGAACCTGGCTAATATCTGCAAAGCATAAATTCTCTATCCCCATTTTCACAGTAGCTACCATTTCTTAAATGTAAGTTTCAAGGAAATTATTATGCATCAAATGCTGTATTAAGCTGGGTGCRGTGGAGCATGCCTGTAATCCCAGCAGCCTGGGAGGCTGAGACAGGAGGATTGCAAGCTCAAAGCCAGCCTCAGCAAAAAGCAAGACGCTAAGCAACTCAATGAGACCCTGTTTCTAAATAAAATACAAAATAGGGCTGGGGATGTGGCTCAGTGGTCAAGAGTCCCTGAGTTCAATTCCTGGTACCACCCCCTGCCCCACAAAAAAAAAAAAAAAAAAGGAAAAAAAAAGGAAAAAAGCTGCACTAAGTGTTTTTTCTATCTAAAGAAAATAAATAAAAGCCTTCCAGGCAACTGTTTTGGATGTATTGTGATGGCTGCAAATTCTTTGCCATGTTTCCTATTAAAAGGTGGAGTCTGTTTGCCGCCTCCCCCACGCCCACCACCTTCAATTTTGGCTGGTTCTATGACTTACTGTGACCGATACAGAGYACCAGTGATTCTGGACTTTAAGAAGACACAATTTCTGCTTCTAGTTTGACACCCTCTCTTAGAAAGCAAGCCTTATGTAAGAAATCTGAGTAACYCTAAGGCCACCATGCTGGGAGGAAGCCCAAGACAGTCACATCAAAAGAATACTAAAAGAAKCTCTGAGGCCCTAGATATGGGAAGGAAGACTCTTAGGCAGTCCAGCCCAGCTCAGCCCCCAACCTGAGGGCCTACCATATGGAGCAGAACCACCCACCTGAGTTCCAATGAATGTCTGACCTGAAGAATCCTGAGAAGTAATTTCTTTGGAATTGTTCATTATGCAGCAAGGGATAATTGAAATGGGGTGATATTCCCATTGTTTATAGGCACATAAACTGAGGCTAGGTTAGCCTATGTTATAAACTAAGCAGTAGCAGCTTCAAACTCAGAGCTCTTGAATGCAAAGCTCATCCTTTGTCCTACATTGCATTATTTGGACGGGGGAAAGTGAGGACTTCAAATACCCACAATTCCCCCAGGTTTCTCCAGAACTGCTCACATCCCTTTACCCCCAACTTTCAAAGGAGCCAGAAGGAAGGTGGTGTGGTTGGGTGCCAAGAAAAAACTCTTTTCCCCTCCAAGCAGGACTAGAAATGTGTGGGCAGCCTTTTCAGTGCAAATAGGGGTAAGGTTAGTTTTGACCACAGAAGAAGCTGGTGTTGCTAATCACCTAGTTTCATCATRTTCTACAGTTGATAAACTGCTTTAATCTCATGGATTTGGCTGGCCCCAAAAGCCTACCCTTGAATTCCCCAGGGGCCACAGAAATAAACACAATGCCTAAATATGATGGACAGGGCTGGCCCCAGAGCAGAGCACACCAGAGGCTTCTTGTCTCCCTTTCCTGGACCTTCTCGTCCCTTTAAAGTGGAATCACTAGTTCTTCCTCACGTGCAGGCTCCCATTGTGAGACAAAAAGGGTAAAAGTGTGAAGGTACAGGATTTACAGGAGAGTCCAATACGGTGGAGAGGAGACAGGTACCCAGGTGACAACCTTTAAGATGCTAGTTCCATCAAARCCATCTCCCTTTACACACTCCTTCTCGAGCCTTCTGGCAGCCCGAGGGAGACCAGTCCTCCTCTCGAACCATGCATCTAGTCCTATTGGTTTAAATATTTTTATTGATGCTAAACTCACCCATCCATTCCATGGCCAGTGGTTCTGAGGAGCCCCTCTCCAGAGGCCTAGAGACCGCCTTTTYGGTTTCCACCTAGAGGGTTTGTATAGTCTCCCCCAGAAACTCCCAGAGCGCCTCTCCAGAATCCGTCCGGCGCACTTGGCCTTCGTGGGCGGATGCATACCCCAGGCCACTGTCTCCAATTTCCCTAAGCCTGGGAGGTGAAATTTCCCAAGGAAAGGCTGGGCTCAGACAGCGCTCCCTACTGGAGCCCAGAGGTCCTGCYGGTGCCGAAAGGAGAAAGGCGGCTCTGCGTAAATGGTGAGCTGGGCAGCGGATCAGAGGCAGAGGCTGAGCTCCTTGCGCACGCGGCAGCGGTGGCACTGCACCACGCAGCACCAGTGGAAGCGGCACAGGCAGTTCTCCTCGAGCTGTACGCTCTCTTGGCGGTGCCCACGGCCGCAGCACAATAGATCGCAGCCACTGAGGTCCGGGGCACTGCTGTTGCAGGCACGGCCGCGAGTGCCTGGCGAGCCGGTGCGCCGGTTGGGGGCACAGAAGTCTGGCGAATCCGCGGCGTACAGGAGGTCGGCGCGGCCWGGCGGCTTGAGCGTGCGAACGGCGGGCAGTAGGGCCTTGCCGTCGTTGGTGCCCATGACGCGTGAGGCGCCRTGGAAGCGCTCCAGCAGCCGCGCTCCCACCTCGCGGAACGGGGGCAGCTTCTGCCAGCAGGTGCGCAGTGCGCAGGAGCCGGACAGCCCGTGGCACTTGCATTCGGTGCGCGTGTGGCTCCGCACGGCCTGAGGGGAGCAGGGGAGGGATGGGGACAAATGAGGGGCACGGGGCGGGGAAAGGCCCATAAGAAAGACAGAAAAAAGATTGGGGGATCCGAATGGAGGATAAAAAACAATTTAAAAATGGAGAATGCCAAGCGAGGAGGAGAAAATTAAGGAAGCGACAGTTCAGAGAGAAGCGAGAGGTAGAATGACAGGACGGAGTAAGAGAAGTGGAAATTGGGGGGGTCAGTAAGTTCCACAGAGATTCCAGCGTCCAAAGCCAGGGAGAAAGCAGAATGGACGGACGCCAAGGGTGAAATTCTCACTGGAAACGGGGAGAGGCGGGGGAGAGGGGGCAGCTGTGGAAGCTTAGCCTTCCTGCCAACCTGGCCTTCTCATTCCAGCCTCTCAGGGCCCCAGGCTGGGCTGAGCAGACACAGAGCCCGCCTGGGCGTCTGTCCCCACCACCCCTCCCAACCCTCCTGACAGGTATGCGGGCCTGTCCGGACATTCCTCTCCTGGCCCCCTCCTCCTTCCCTGCCCAATGCCTCAGGCTGGAACCCTAAGGGACGCACAATGTGTGTGTGTGTGTGTGTGTGTGTGTGTGTGTGTGTGTGTGTGTGTGTTTCCCTAGAACACTCTAGGATTGGGGCACAGGGCGCAGGAGGGCCCCGGTGAATACACTACTGAGAACAGAACCAAGGAGGCTTCCCTCTTCTTTGTTGTTTGGTCTGAGGCTGGGGTCTAAGAGCCATAATCCCACATGTACCAGTCAGATGGCCCATGAAAATCAACTGTAAAGCTCAGAGGTCAGGGGCTAACTTGACCTACAGATTTGGGTGACCTCTCTCTCCCTGACCCTCRCCTGCCCTACTTCTAGAACCATCCGACCCAGGTAGGTTTCTTATCCCTCAACAATAGTCCTGGGACCCTCTTCACAGCAGAGGGGGAATAGTAGGGTGGGGCTGCCATGGCTCTGAGCATGTGAGACCTGATCTGGGGTTACTGGGCAACCTGTTGGAATGCCCAGAAACAGAGCTTTCCAGGCCTCCACCTGACCCCTTCCTCCCTCCACCAGGTTGGGCCTCTGGTCCTTCACTCCTTTCCAAACCTGCTTTCCCTTCCAGCCTGCTCTGGGCCCTTTCTAGGCCTCCCTCACTTCCCTGCCTCCAGACCCCATACCTTTGTCCCTGCTTCGATTCTTGCTTCCATCCTCTGTCTTTGTCTCCTTCTCTTGCTCCTGACCTGGCATCCAGATCTCTACCCACCCCAGCTTTGCCTCACCTGTCTTGTGTCAGAGGTCCTCTCCCACCTTGGGTTCCTAAAGACCCTGGTTTCTGTTCTCTGAGTTATCAGCCAGCATCAGGCCCTCCGAAGCCCTGTCCACTTCTGGATTGGACACCTCTCCTCTCACCTTCCGCAGGCATCCATGTCCCTCCCAACCTTCCCAAGTGCCTCCTCTGTCCCGTTCACTCTCACCAACACACTCCTTCACCGACACTCTTCACTCACGCCCACACTTCCATAAACATGCTGCCACCCACACTGTACTCACCAGCACACCATTTCCACACTGACCCTGTGCACACCCCCTCCCATACGCACCAGCCGGCCTGCCTCATTGTTGTGTAGTTGCACCAATGCTCGGATGTCTCCTCGTCCCCGCTTGTGTCGGGCATCCATAAAGAGCCTGGACTTCTCATCCCCAAAGTCCACGTCGTCTCCACAGCCTCCCCACTCCCAGGCAGCGGTGGCGTCTGGGGAGCCTGCGGGTGCAGGGGGCCCTGGGGTGCCAGGCAGGCTGGAGGGCCGAGGCGGGCCCCGGCCCCGGGGGGCCTGGCAGCCACACTGCAGCAGCTCGCCCATGGAACAGGCCTGTGTGACCGCGTGGCTGGCGCCGGCAGCCGTAATTGCAAAAACGAAGGCWGTCTCCCTAATGTCTGTGGATGAAGGAGGGACAGTCAAGCGGCAGGGAGAGGTCTGGGAGACAGGGTCTATGCAGGGTGTGGAGGGGCAAGGTGGGCCAGGGAGCCCAAGATCAGCGGGGAGGTCGGACTCAGGCATCCTCCCCCAAACTTCTCCCCTCTCCTCCAGCTTTCCAGCAGAGAGGAAGCAGCCCCCCTCCCACCAAGCCATCTCCCCACACTGACCCTGCTGCAGGATGCGCCCAAAGGCTTTGCTGTGGCTGGAGCAGTTCCAACGTCGGAAGCGGAACTGGAACTGGCACTCTCGCACCCCAAGCCGGGCGCCCCGGGCTAACTCTGCTACCACTTCTGGCTCAGCCTGGCACAACTCAGCCTGCCGCCCTGCCAGTCGCCGTGCCTTCCTGCAGATGCTGGTGGGGTCCATGACCAAGGGGCTGCCCACGGCCCTGGGGATCATAGAACAGCAGGTCAGGGGTGTAACTCAGAAAAGAGCAAGCCTGGAAGAGAGTGAGACCAACCCCACCCAACCCATAGCCAGGAGCTACGGTGTGCCTCCCTATCAGCTGGGATGAAGGTTGTCCTCTCTGGTTCCCTTACCATGCCRTGTCTGTGTCCCCTCTTGACTACATTCTAGACTGAAAATTGCTAAMGAGCAAGATGCAGTCTCACTCACCCTTCTGTGTACATCTTAAATTAACAAATTCTTATGGGAACGTGACTCRAGATGAAGGCAGTTGGCACAAGGTAGGCCAAGGCTAAAATTCAACAGGCCTAGCCCAAAAGGGAGACAAGGAAGAAATTAGCAAAAGAAAGATCAAGAAGGCTGTCAAAGAAAGCATACATCAGAAAGAGACACCAAAGAGCCAGTATGGTGATACACACCTGTAATCCCAGCTTCTTGGGAGGCTAAGGCAAGAGAATCACAAGTTCAAGCCCAGCCTGGGCAACTTAGCAAGACCCTGTTTCAAAATAAACAATTTAAAAAAGGGCTGGGTATGTAGTTCAGAGGTAGAGCACTCCTGGGTTCATCTCTAGCACAGAGAGGGAGAGGGGAAGAGACAGGAGAGGAAGGGGAGAGACGGCACACAAAGAAAAGTAAACAGCATCAAGGAAGGATCTGGTCTTAGTGGACCACAAGATGGATATGTTGGACAGACCAAATGAAAGGGAGGCACCATCCCAGGGCCATAGAGGGTCATGAGATGTTAGAATGGCTAGGGAAGGAACCTCTGGGGAAGGTCATACCCTCTCTTTAACTCAGGTATCTCATTGGAGAACKGAAGAGGTAGGCTTAGATCTCTAAGGTGGGAGCCTAGAACTACCCCCATATCCTCCGTTTCCCTGAATTAAAGAGCAGAAGGAAAGAACTAGGGACCGAGTCTCTGCAGCATTTCTGCAGAGTAGGTAACACTGACTCTTCTTCAGCTCCAAGGTCTGTGGCTTTCCCAGAGCAGRATGGCAGCAAGCCAAGGCCTATGCCCTGGGGTGACATATCCAATTGGGCAACGGGGTGTGTTTGGCTTGGTGGGTAAAGACCTCATGGKAAGTTCCACACACTTTCAGAAATCCCTCCGCGCTTGCCTTCATTCCATCTGAGGAGAGAGCTGACATTTAGTTTCCATAGGTTGTCAGCCAAGAATTCACACCTGGGGGGAACCCGTTTAATCAAATGGCTCCTATTTGAACACTTAACTGGGATCCTTGTCTTAAAGAAATATGTGGACACAGCACTTGGAAGGGTAATTTGAGACCATCCCAAAACCCTCTGCAAAGGGCAAAGATAGACTGGTTGGGAAGAAGGGTCTCCAGAGAAAATGTAGAGGAGAATCATGGCAGATGGGTGAAAGGTCAAGGTGACCTACTTTTCAGCTTTGCTTGAGTACATMTCTGCCCCACTGTCCCCATTTGCTCCACAAGTACAGGCTGCCCAGGCATGTTCTGAGATGTAATGATCTTAAATAGCAAGAGGAATTTAGGTCTTAAGGTAGAACTCAGCACTAAGGATGAGGTGTTGTAGGAAGATATGTAAGCTCAGTATTTTAAGGCTTCCTAACACTCTATCTATGATCGCTTGATCTATCTATCTATCCATCTATCTATCTGTCTATCATCTATCTCTGTCTCTCAGGTAGAATTAGGTTGCTGTCATCATCCCTACTCACATAGGGATAGTTCAGGAACTATCTTTTCAATGGAAAGATTTATACTCCAGACAACTCTTCCATTGAGCTTAGGACCGGCCCAACACCAGCCCCTCTCTTTCCCCAATCCCAGAGAAGGGACAGATGGAGCAGAAGGGAGTAGACAAAAGCTGGAGATCCCAAGCTGGTTCTTAATGCCAGTGACCCTGGAGATTTGATCAGTCTCTATGTATCTACCCATCTATCAATTCATCTATCCTCTCTCCATTCACCTATCTCACCTCGTTATAAAAAGAATCTGAGCAGCCTCCAGCATAGCTAATACAGGGTCAGCAGCTAAGACTATGAAAATTATGACAGTCTCATTTTCCTTTCTCTAGCAGATATTCAGATGCCTAATTTCTATTTACCCCCAATGTTAACTATGAAAATTTGCATATTATGAATCATGTTACATATGAATAACACATGTAGTATATAATACAATAATGAATACCATTTAATACATGTTTCTGAATAAATGAATGACCATCTTCCCAAGGAGGAAATCCTCCCCTGAGCCCAGGCCACTGTGCATGTGTTATTTCATGGCTCCTGATTCACTTCCTGACATATTTTTTTTTTCCTACTGGCTGGGTGAGGCTCTGCGAACTCTCCACAGCCCCTGTTGCTAAGTTTCCCAGCCCCCCCCCTCTTGCCCTTTGCTGACTCCCATTCCCAAGGTTGACTGGACTTATCTTCCAAGGTCACTCTGCCCCATCCCTCTCCTCTCCCTCCTCCTCCTCCTCCTAGGAAGGCAGGAAGGAGTGGGAACAAGCAAGGGAGAAAGGCAGAAACCTCTTGACCTTGTCTGCTTCCCAGGAGCTAGAGATAGGAGAGGAATCGTGGGGAGTCTTCAGGGCAGGGCCCTCCAGGAGATGGGGCTGGCCCTTCACAAGGTCCAGGGGCCGCCTCAGAGCCATTCCTGGTCTGGGTCTGGCTCCYGGGTTGGCTGGCTTCCTGGGAACTGGACTTGTTTACGAGCTGGTCAGGAGGCGGGATGGGCAGTGATAGCAGCTAGAATCCCAAGGGACCAACTTACTCCCTGCCTTCCCATCCTTGCTTCCATCCCAGAGACATAGGAAATGAAACAGAAGAGGCATGGCAGGGGCACCCCGGGCAAAACACTGTACAGAGCTTCRGAACCCTGGATTCTACCATCTCTGTGTGAGCTGAGCCACTCTGAACAGATCAGTTCCCACTTGGGGCTTCAGAAAAATGAATTAGAAGGAAAGCCTCATCCTCCCACCCCCAAATTTAACATTTGATTCCAGATCCAGGACTAACTGCCTCTCTCCCCAGTGTCCCTTCTTCCTTCCTTCCTTCCTTCCTTCCTTCCTTCCTTCCTTCCTTCCTTCCTTCCCTTCTGCTTCCTCAATGATCCCATCAGGAGATTTGGATTAAACTCTGTTTTTTGGGCTTCTGGATCAGCCCAGAAAATATATGTTTCTTTGGGGAATTTGCATATCTTAGAGTCTGGAGGGCAGTGGTGGTAGGAATATTCAATGTATAGAATCTGCAGTTCTAATCAAACTACCATTACTAGAAAAGAGCTTGTCCCTAAAATAATTCAGAATTCAGACAAGAAAGATCAAGGCCAAAGAGCTTGGCCACTTGGATCACACTAAGGTCTCTCTCCCATGGACCATAATTGGTAGGATCAATGCCCAGGAAGATGCTGTCAGAGGTCAGCCAGTTTCTACTGGTAGCCTCTGTAGACCTAAGCTCCAGAAGCCCCAGGGTTCTAGATCCCAACTTATCTTTTCACTTTTATTTAGAGGGTCAAAGAAACTAGTCCACCCCTAGCCACCTCACCCCTGTTACACAGATAAGGGTCAGGCCCTGGCCACTCATTGGAGGTTTCCCCACTGCAAGAAAAGTGAGATGACATAAAAATCTAAACAAGGTTGGAGGGAAATGACTTTTGTGAGGTATGGGAGGACCCCAGGTGGCCTCTCACATCTTCCTCCCCACGCCTCTTCCTCCTAGCAGGGTTCTGAATCCATCCAGACCATACCACTTAATTTCTAGACTCAGAGCCAATATCTAGGTACSCCTAAGTCATCAAAATCCTTGCCAGCATCTCTCCAAGCTCAACTCAGAACCCTCTGGGCCCCGAGGAGCCTCCCTTGAGTCCCTGCCCTCCCCTCCTCATCACCCCAAGTGTCCTAGSGGTCACTCACCTGGGGGTGTTTACTGGTTTGCAAGCAAATTTGCTTGTTTTATCTCTCAATTAGATAGAAAACTCATAAAAGACAAAAATCTCACAAAGGGCATGGTGTCATCAGCAGGGCCCATCAGGGCTTTGGGGATTGATCAGACTTGGGGTGGGATCTGGGCTCTGCCATTTACTTGTTCTGTGAAGTTGAGTGAGTCCCCAACATGTGATGCTGGTACTTAGTATTTGTTGAGTGGATGATAAAACTTACCCTTCTGCTCCTGTTTCCTCAATTGGAAAACGGAAATAATAATGCCTACCTCCTTGCCTGGTTACCTGTGCCAAAGACCTGTCCAGAGGATGGGTTGAGACAAGGACTTCTGGTCATCCCATTCACTTCATCTAACTCTTGGGTCTGCACAGCGCRGGTGGTCTGTTTGGCTTCCTGAGAACACCCTTTTCTCCAACTCCCCGCCTCACTTCTCAGCCTGGATCTGTATCACCTCCTCCTTCRTCCAGCCCTGCCCAGGTATATGAGTACCCTCTAGGGCCCCTCTTYTTCCTCAGCAAGCACTCCTGATGGGATCATTGAGGCCAAAAGGCCCACAGTCCATWTGGGTGCCCAGCCTCCTCTGGAGGGTCTCACAGCAGGCCTTCCTGTATTTCCCGCCCCCCCCCAAGGTCCCTAGACTGACCCCACCTCCCAGGAGCCAGCAGAGGGAGCCCTGAGCCCTGGGGCTGTGGGTGGGGGCTGTATGGAGGTGGAGGAGGTGGGTGGTGGAGAAGGGGCAGAAAAATGTTGCCTGACGGCTGCTGAGGCTGCCGGGCCTGTGCCCGCCCGCCTGTCCTGTCCTGCTCTGTCTAACTCAGTAATTACTGTTCCCCCTCCCCCAGTCCCTACCCCCACCCCAACTACCACATCAAAGCCAGTGATGCCCCAGCTCCATTAACCCCTGCCTCCCCACTGTCCACCAGTGACCCCCATTCCTTCCCTCCTCCACTCTGACCCAATTTGGTTCCCTCTGTCTGTCCTCAACGCCTCTCTCTTCAGGGCTCCTGGAGAGGCTGGGGCTTTGCCTTCCCTGAGAGACCTCACCATATAAAAGGGTTTCCTACTGGTCATGGCTCTGGGAGGCAAAGCARTGGACAGACTGGCTCTTAAGTGGATGCACGAGGAGTCTGTTGCACACCTTCTGCTCTCCCCAGTAGGGTGGGGAGCACCCATCTGGGGGTGGAYAGGGGAGCAAAGGGGCCTGTGAAAGGCCTTGTGGCCCTTTCCTGATGCCCACCTGCCACTGTACGCAAGGACGGAGCTGAGCAGAAGGCAAACTCTCAGCCCCAGCTCTCGGCTACCAGTATTCTGGGGCACTGGGCAAGTCACCTCCTGTCCCWGGGCGTCCTGCTCCCACCATGAATATTGGACCAGATGATCTCCGAGTTCCTTTTAGATCTACTTCTAGTTTAAACAGAGGACTCAGAGCTGATGGAACCAGGCAGAAATCCTCGTGGCAAAATTTTCTCCCTCAACTCTTCCGGCGTTCCAGCTGGGGCATGGAGGTCCGGAGCCACTCTCACCAGTTGCAGAGGATAGGTCTTTCTCTAGTGTTCTGGCTCTACTGGCCCCCAGCCCGGCTGCCAGCCCTGCCCAGCCCTGCCTCATCCCTTCCACAGCTGCACTTCCCCATCAAAGTGTTCATTCTGGAATCCCCCTTGCTGGGCCCTGGTGAGCAGGCCTCCCACTGACCTCCCCCCACCAACTCCTCTCTTCTGATGAGAACGGGGCAGGAGGGCCGCACCCCCCAGGAAATGTCACAGTGCCAGGACTCTGGTGGGCCCAGGGCATGCTCTGGCCTGGATCAAGCCAGCCTCCTTCTGCCCCTGCCCTTTTCTGCTCACAGCCTCATTGTCTCCCTTGGGGAAGCTGCCAAGGCKGGAGGCCTGGAGTGGGGAATGGATAGCCACCCTACCCCCATCCCACCCCACCCTGGAGCTTGGCAGGGGCCAGCAACAGGACTGACCATGAAGGGTCAGGGGTCCCAGATTAAGACAGAATTGGAAAGGGTGGCCAGGTCCTGCCTGGGGTGGAGGTGAGAGCTGGAAAACTTGGGTGTTAGGAAGAGGCCACGGTCTTTCCCTGCTTCCCTGTGGAGCCAGAGATGAGGCTATCCTAGGCCCCGGGTGCCTGTTTCCTTTCCATATGTGAAGTGGGGGTGGTGAAGGCAAGATGGGATGTGGGAGGGGACTGGGTGGTGTTTTTCCTAGTGGAACAAGAGGAGTTAGTTTTCTCTTTCAGAGAAAAAATAAAACAGAAAGAAGAAAGGAAAAGAGAAGGGAGATTGATTTAGCACTTCCATAAGAGTGAGCTCTTTTCTACATTCACTGATTGAAGGTATAAATAAAGATGGGTCAGACATTGTGAAGAACTTCCTGGGGGAGAGCAGGAGAGGAGCAGGGTAAGAGGGGGGAGCTGGTGAGCCAGCATGCCAGAGCCTCCCCTTCTCTATCCCACTCTGGGGACTACTGGTACTAGAGCATAAGGTGGATGGCCTGAAGGCAGTGAGCTGGACAAGATGACCTCAAGAAAGCCTGGCCAATGTCCTGGAATCTGGGATTCTGAGATTCACAAAGATAATGGTTACAAGATGGATAGAGAGACACAGAGAAAGAAGCTGGCAGCAGAGTCCAGAATACATGCATTGAGATGGGGGGGGGGGGAGGCAGAAAGGAAAGGAGAGCAGAAGGGAAACTTCTTTGGAACCTGAAGCCAGGTCCCTGAGCCAATTTCAGGGCCTGAGTCACCCTCCGCCTAGACCCTCCTTTCTACTCAGAGGTCCTCAAGTCCCCTTTGATCCCAGCCTGGCCACTGCTGGTATGTCAGAGTGGCTGCTGTAGGTCCTGCTGCTTTCCTGGCTACCATTTGGAGCTCTGACCAGCATCCTGAGAAGTAAGGAGAAGAAGGCCAGCAGAGCGMGTCCTGGACATCGGAGAACAACCTGAAAGCTCCCAGCTAAAGTGAGATGGGAGGGACAGGAAGAGCCTCAGGCCAACTACTGAGCCAGATCCCACCCACCAGCCTAACCACCCACCAAACCTGACCTTGGAGGGCAGTGGTGAGGTGGGGTGGGGACTGGAGTAGGCAGAGTGAAAGACCAAGTGAATGGGAGTCAGGGCTTAGACCAAAGGAATGAATCTTCAGAAATCCAGGAGAGGGAGGGGGCTGAGGCAGGTGGGAGGGTCAGGCTCTCTCTGAGGCACCTCTGAGTGAGGCATTCTCAGCCACCTTATCACCCAGGCCCCTCACTCTTCACCCGGCTCACCCTGCAGCTGTGCCATGAAGGCCTCTGTGTTCTCCCACACCTGCCCTCCTCAGCTCCTCCCCCACTCCCTGCATCCCAGCTTCAGGGTCAGTCTCTGAGGGACCAGGCTCCTCTTGGCTTCCACCCAGCAGTCCCTCTTGAACAAAGAAACCCCCACAGATACAAATCCCTGGAAAGACTAATCAACCAGTTTGACAATATTCCACAAACCTATCTTCAGCACCTACATTGTCTTGGGCCTGGGGGACCCTAAAGATATAAAGACTCTGACTTCCAGAAGCAGGATAGAGACCCCACAGCAGATGGTTGTCAGTAAAATGCAGTAATTGCCCAATGCTTGGGGCACTGGGAGCACAGAGAAGGCAACTGAAGGACAGAGAGACAGTTTCATGGAGGAAAGTGGAATTTTAACTGTAAGGATTAGAACGATTTGACAGATGAGAAGGGAAGAGAGGGAAGGCAACTGCCACCAGAGAACAACCCTGACCCCAGACCTCGAGAAAAGGCAGAGTTAGGATAGGTGTGTTTGAGAAAGGAGAGATCCCTTTACTAAGCTTTAATTGGGACTCTAGATTTTGAATTTAAATTAATCACATTTTTTTGCCCCCGGGGGACCTTGGCCTGGAGAAGCTGGGCTATGAAGAGTATTTCTGAATGTCAGATAATTTCCCCAACTAAACCTCCCAGCGAGCCTTCCAGGTAGAAAGATCATTATCCCTACTTTATAATTAAGACCTTGCCGGACTGGGAGGGAAAGTGACTTGCCCAAGATCACTGATTTAATGGCTGAGATCTCAGGTCTGTCTGTGCTACTGCATTGTGCTAAACTAGGATCAAAGAGCACATGTTCCCAATTGAGACCATGATCATCCTCAGTTTGCCCCCTTATTGACACCCAGGAGGGATGTCTTTCCCGCATCACGGAAGAGATAACCGCTGGCAACTCGCTGTGTGGGCATCCTACTTTATCTCGCCAGAAGAGAGGATTTGCCTGCCTAACCCCTCCTTCCAAACCAGCGAGGTGGGCGAGGACTGGAGTGCGGGAGTTCAACCAATGAATTGGTAATATGCAAATAGAGAACCTTCTGCCTTCTTAGGATTGGATGATCCATTAGCACTATTGTCCAAATCCCTCCCCTCTAAACGCTGAGCTATTCCCGGCGGGTTTGAGGCTCCGTAGACTTAAGAAAAGGGGTAGCGTGTGTGTGTGTGGGGGGAGACTTTCAGGATTTCGATCTCTGAGCAGACCAGGCGGGCACCCACCTTCCTCGCCCTGCCCATCCCTCAAGGCTCAAAACTCCCGCAACCTTCGCTGGCTAGTGTCTGCTCTACCTAAGCCAAGACTAGATGCCAAGACTTTGAAGATGTCCCCTGTCCCTTGGCAAACCAGGTCCCTCTCCCTTCCACCAGGATCCTCCCGGTTCCCGCATCTCCTGGGCTGCACTTTTATTTATTTATTTTTAATCAATGACCTTCATATCTGGAAGGGCCAGGGGCCTGGATCCCTTTCTTGCTTTTCTTTCTCTTCCTTGTTAGGGGGAGAAAGTAGAGAAAGTCAGGGTCCTGACTCAGTTTCCCCCTTTGCATTCCTTTCCTCTATACTACTGCCCACGCTGAAGAAGGCACAGAGAGAAGCTGGTGGGCTGGTAGGCAAAGAGGGGAGAGGGGCAGCTGTTTGACTCTCTGCCGTGGTTCCCACCTTTTTCCTCTGCCTGAGGAGGGAGCGCCCAATATCCAGCCCCCCTCCCCTAGTTCCGGAACCCTCCTCACTCATTCTTTTCTTCAAATCTCTGATTACAGATCTCGGTCTCAGAAACTCTTTCCTACCTACCCGCCAATTCTTAGTGATCTGAACTGAGCTCAGTACTTGGGGGGAGGGGTGGACCGGGGAGGAGGAAACACAATAGAATGTGTCCAGGGGTTGGGAACGTCAAAGTGGTACTTAAAAAGCGCCCCCGGCGGAGACCGTGAGGAGAACTCCAGGCACCTTTGCCCAGGGTCCCCAGGCCACTGCCCTTCAGCAGGGTTCCGCGAGCAGATAAAGTCCGTAAAGTCAGGAGTACAGTGCGGAGCCCTTCGATCTGGTCCACGGATCCCCACCCTCTGAGTTCGGAGCCGCACTGGGACAGCCCCAATGCAGCACTCACCACCACAGTCCGCCGACGTGCGCTGGACACAGGAGTAACAGCAACAGCAGCCCGAGGAGGGAGGACACGGACGGCAGCATCGTGACTTGTCTATCGCCTGCAGGCGCGGGCAGCAGGCGAGGCTGCAGAACGAGTAGGTGCGCTGGGCCGCCAGGGCTTCAGGACGAGCTCAGCGACTAAGGCGGCGGTCTGGAGGCGATGGCTCCGGCGGCGGCGGCGGCGGCGGCGGCGGGGGGGCCCATGCCGGGCGAGGAGGGCGCGGCGGAGGCGGAGAGCGGACCGGGCAGCCAGTGCCTGAGTCTCCTGCCGAGCTCGCTCGGGAGAAGAAATCAGAGCCGGGGGCGGGGGTAGGAGGGGAACGGGGCCCGGGCGTGGGCGGGGGCGGGGGGCAGGGGGGCCGTGGGGGTGGCAGTTGCGACAGTCAGGCGGCGGGACTCTCGGGAGGGAGCGTGAGCCCCGGGGCGGCGAGCGCAGAGCGCAGCAGAGGGCGGGAGCCGGGTGCCGGGGCGGGGCCGCAGCGCGCTCCTAGCTGCGGGACCCGCCCGCCTCACCCCCTCATCCCGCCTCTCGGGGCTGCCCCCCGCCGCCCCGGGCCGTTAGGAGTCGGGGGCAAGGAGGGGCGGGGAAGAAGAGTAGAGAGGGATAAGAGAGGGAGGAAAGAAGAAGAGCTGAGGGRGGGGGGGCTGGCTAGAAGGGAGACGTTTGACAGGTTTGTTGACTGTAAAGAGAGAAAACTTCCCAGGAATGAAGGAGTTTGGTGGTGGTGGGGGGGGAGAGCTGTGCAGAGGGAGATGCTGTGCTGGCGGGGACCAGGAGAGGAAGTCGGCCTGGGGCGCGGGATGCTCMGGGAGGGGTGTCAACTCCACTGGCAGCCCAGCGGACCTTGGAGGGATCACCTCTTACAGAACGCCGTCTCTGCGCCACACGCCCCTTCCTCAACCTTTCCTGGAGGAAAGGAGGAAGCCCTAGGCCTCCGCTCCAGCTCCCCAGCCATCCCGCCTCTTCAGGCCGGTGTTCAGGGGCGGGAGTGGGGGGAGATTAGACAGCAAGGGGAGCCTCTCTAGGGCCAGCGCTAGAGTGCTCGCACGTGTAAGCGAGAGCAAGGGAGGAGGTTGCGGACTTCCCAGAGATGTGCGGCCAGAACTCGCTGCAGCAGCGCCTCGCGTGTCCGCGGTCCCTTCCTCGAGTTCCTCCCCCAGCTTGGCCCGGGCAGAGGGTGGGAGAGCCAGCTGCAGGTGAGATGGCGTTTATCTGATTCTCTAATGCCACAAAAATGTCTTTGATGCCCCCGGGCCCCTCCCCACGAGGGGGAGATCAAAGGCCCGGTGGGGAGGAGGGACAGCTCCATTCATCACGCCAAGCGGCTGGCAGCGGGGCGGCAGCCCCTGCTCCTCAGTTCGGGGCAGAGGCCCCCCCCCCACATACCCCAGGAGTGCAGAGGGACAGGTGGTGCTGACGTTCTGCAGCAGGGGCCAGTTTCCCTATCACTACCATTTAGAGAATCCACATCATTTTAAGGGTGTCCTTGAAGGGAGGACAGATACAGCACCTCAAGCCCATGTGGCAGAAACTTCAGGCACCAGGAAGAAAGCTCTCCCTTGTCTGGGGTGGACTCTGGAAGTGGAGACTGAGGTCACTGCCAAGAAAGACAAACACCCCTAGTGAATAAGAGAATGCACTATCCTGAGTATCCCAGATAGTGGGGAAGAGTGGATCAAGATGAGGCTGGTTGTCCAAGGGGAAGCAACAAAAGACTATGGATGCCTACCCCAGAAGAAGAAAAAGATCTGGGAAAGGAAGAGGAATAAGTAGAGAAGAGAAGAAATAGAGAAATGTTGGCCCAGAGGAAGCCCCTAGGTTTTCTGGGAGTCCCACCTGGTGTCCAGGCTGGGTCTGACCAGTCCTTTGTACTGGTGCAGAGAGCTGAAGGGGGTGGGGTACTCTGGAAAAAGGGAAGGAGCAGAGGGGGGCAGTAACTAAGTGAGACAGTGGTCATTTTAACCTTCAACAACTTCCCAATGCCTAGTGATTTTGTACTCACAGTTGTCATTTCTGCAGGGCAACACTAACCCTGGACACTGCACATTCAGAGACATATCCATTTGGGCCAGATGGTGCTAAACAGGCAGCCAGAGTACTCCAAGGGCTCCCTGGAGGCTGTAGGTGACAAGTGACCAGTCCCTGGGGAATACTGCCTGGGTTCCAAACCCCCTGCCCACCCTGCCCCCACCCTGCTACTGTTATTGCAGATTATGAAATGCTCTCCCTATCCTGCATTCTTCTCTGAGGCAAGAATTTTAATGTATTTGTCTTTGTCATCAGGGGACCTGGGCTCTGGGACCGCCCTGCCTCTGCCTGAGGAGGGAGCGCCCCAAATCTAGTCCTGGCTGACTCCAGACCCCAGCCTCTCTCTGTTGCCACACCCCCCATGCCCTAGCCCTACCCCTTGCCTCCCCCTCTGAAGATACAGTCTCTCTGTGGGGTGGATAAAAATGATGTTATTGAAACAACAGAATTGGGAGCAGTGGCAGGGAGCAGGGATCAGCTCAGGAAACTGGGGCGTTTGCCAAGAAGCCTTCTCCCCCGCAGGCAGCTTTTCTGCCCCCACCCCCCACCTTTCCTACAAACACACACAGCTCACCCCACCCCTCCTGCAGCGCTAGCTCTGGCCAGATCTAGCACAGAATCTTTAGCCATCCCTGAACTCCCCAAGCTCTGATCCTTCCCCCAAAGAGTCCCACTCCAGAATCACTTGGTGTGGGATTGCCTGTCCAAGCTTTGGGCCAGGGAGGTATGGGCTGGAGTCCGTGATGGGCAGGAAACCTCAGTTTCCAGGGCTTTGGTTCCAGCAGCAACCTTACTTCTGCCCACTCCCCTTTGCCCTCTCTGCATTCTTATCTGGGGTTGCTTGGTATCTGGGTGGAGCCAGATTGATGACTTCTGTCCACAAATTTTCAGAGACATGAGTTCAGATGTTTCTGAGCCTTCACCTCCCCGCTGTCATCCTAGTAGCCTTTCTAGAGAGCAGGACTGGGAAGTGGGAGATACAGACCAAGGCACACAAGATAAATCAAGATGTGTGTTCCGTAGGCACGCTCACACACTGACARCTGGCACAGGCGAGCAGATAACCCCATGGAAACCACACTCCTCCCCTTAGGCAATGCTGGGTAACTTTCACCCACAGGTACAGATGGACAGAGATGCACTGGCTCAGGCTGAAATGAATACCTGCCTCCCTGGAGATTGCATGCAGGTGCATGCGCGTGCACATGCCACTTCTACACAAATGCACATGCAGAGAAATGTTCATGAGGGACACTCTGGGCAGCAAGAGTGGGGAGGTGCCAGCCTGACCCCTCTTTGGGCACGGAGCTCTTCCGCTTCTTCCCCCATTGCTCGCCTTAAGTGCCAGGAACCTCTAAACTCCACTTCTAGTCCCTGTGCAAAAGAGAGACAGGGAAGGAGAAACTTGGGTGTCTGATTAAGGGGCTGAAGAAGAAGGAGGGGCAGAGGTGGTGACTGTGGAGGGGGAGAGAAGCAGCTGGACACAGATAACATCGGAATGGCTGCGGGGCGAAAGCAGAGCCCTCTGTCTCTGTCGGATTCTCTCTAGCTGCCTTTTCTGTGTCTTTTCACGTTTCTCCCATGGCTAGAATTTGGTCTCTATTTGTGTTTGTCTCTAAATCTCTCTCTCTCTCTCTCTCTCTCTCTCTCTCTCTCTCTCTCTCTCTCTCTCTCTCTCTCTCTCCTTCTTTTTCTTTCTCAGAATGACCAAAGCAGCAGGAGCCCAGGAATTTGGGCTTATGACCCTTCCCCTCTCAATAACCTTTCTTTCTCTTCTTCCTCCCTCCTTCTCTCTCTCCCTCCCTCACCAATGATGGGGTGTCTCACTCTCAGGGAGATGACAGGCTTGAGGATTCTAAGAACTCCAGGTCTCAGAGTCCCAGGAGAACAGAGGGAGGAAAGGCCAACTCCCTAGAGAGATGGAGGGAAGAAGAAAGTTAGAAAAAGAAAGGAGAAGGACTGGAGTTGTGGTTCAGTGGCAGAGTACTTGCCTATCATGTGTGAGGCACTGGGTTCGATTCTCAGCGCCACGTATCAGTAAATAAAATAAAGGTCCATTGACTAAAAAATATTAAAAAGAAAAAGAAAGGAGAGACTCATTTCCTCTCTCTTCTACATCCTAGACAGTYCTACTTAAGCTTCCCCAGCCACCTGAAATCCTAAGGCTGTGCCTTTCCAGCTGGTGTCTCACCCTTAGCCCATCTTACCATACCCTGTAGGCTCCCTCTGAGCCTTTGTCCAAGGGACCTCCACCTAGTTCCCCACAAAGCCAACCTGCACATCTTCCACACCCCGGGTGAGCTTGAAAGAAGGGGCAGGGCTCAGGGAACAGGGGTGAAGAGGTAGGGGATACTGCTGCCCACCAGAACTGGGCTGGGGGGAGCCAGGGAACATTGACTTTCAATTAGCTCAGCCCCAGTGGACCAAATGGGAGTGGTTGGCCCCTCCTGCTTCTTTCTTTTTGGCAGGTGCCAGGGATCAAACTCAGGGCCTTGTGCGTGCTAGGCAAGTGCTCTACCACTGAGCCACACCCTCAGGTCAGCTCCTGTGGTTTTGATTGTTGGGCTGTAGGGCCCTGGCATGACTTCCAGCATTCTGGAGAGGAGCCCTCACCTTCTGCTCTCTGACTGCTCCCTGCTGCTGCTCCCCTTCTGGCCTCTGTGTAAGGAGGTGTCCAGAGCCAGTCTCTCTCCTGGTTGTATTGCTGGCTGCTGGCAGATTTAACCCCTATCCTCATGGAGCTGGCAGTCATTAACACTGTCATCTTCCAAACAGAAGGAAAACCACAGCCTAGAACATGCTGGGAGGAAGAAGGAGGGACCTTGAGAGGCTGAGGTGAGCACTGACTAGGTCAGGGAGCAGGGAGGCTTCTCTGAGGAGGGAGTACTCCAACTGAGATGTAAGGAGTTAACTGGTAGATGCAGAGAGGGAAGGCCATTTCCAGCTGAGGAAATAACCATTGTGAAAGTCCTGTCTGAGCATGGAGGGAGGATTGCATGCAGGGGACATGGTGAAACAGGATTTGCAGGAGGTTGGAAGAGGGGGTAAAGTACAGCCTGGTGGGGTGGATAGGCTGGAGGGATTTGGGATGA